CCAGAGTGCTACAGGCTACATGCTACAGACATGAGCCACCACGCCCAGCCAGGCCTGGTATTTCTGTAACCAAAGTTGGGCCTGTGTGCCTAGCACGGTTGATCTGAAAGTAACTTATTACTGCAAGAAGATAAGGACCAAAATTTTCAAGTATCATTAAGCAGAATGATTGGTTTCAACACACAGCTAAAGTCAAATAGACCAAGACAATTCTATTACTACCCAGTGCTGGCAGGATATATTATGACACAACTTTGTAACACCTAATTATTTCATGATTGATTTGCTTTTCTACCAATTATTTCAATCTAAGTTTACCTAAAAGCACTTGGGTACCAGTGCCAGTAGTCTGAATTCTGACTACACCACTTACTAACTATGACTTTGGGCAAGTGATTCTATTTTTCTACACCTTCGTTTCCTTGTCTCTAAAATGGGGATAATATAGTGTGTCCCTTATTGATTGCTGAAAGGATTAAAATCTAATGCATGTAAAGCACTTTAGCATAGAAATTGGCCCCTCATGAGTATTTTATAAAAATTACCTATAAGTATTCCACACTTTCAATTGAAAACAGACATTTTACTTCCATAACCAGTCCACTTTATAGTATTTCTCTGATCAGCTTGCCATTTTGCTTTTCTTAAACATATCAGTAATATTTAACAGAAAAGAGAAATTTGGGAGAACTGACTTTGATCTTGATACTCTTCCTGTCTTCTTAGCTTGCAGGGAATAGTCCTGAAAACCTTCTCAGTGGCAAAGTTAGTGAGAAGAAAAACAATGATCCTACCAGATTGGGTCTTGTCTTTCAGGGGATATTTTTACTGCACTGCTGATGCTGCATGGGTGTCACGTTCTAGTTCCATTGATCCATGCTAATGAAAGTGCTATCAGGGACAACTGTAACTTGTGCCTGAGCACGGACCAGACAGTTCCTTCACTTCTTTAGAAAACAAAACGTGCTTTTTTTTTTTTTTTTTTTTGAGACACGGTCTTGCTCCTTCACCCAGGCTAGAGTGCAGTGATGTCATCAGAGCTCGCTACAACCTCAAACTCCTGGGCTCAAGTGATCCTACCGCCTCTGCCTCCCAAAGTGCTAGGGTTGCAGGCATGAGCCACCATGGCCCACCCAAAACCATGCATTTTTATTTTATCTTTGTGTTAATGATTCAACCTAAATTGTACTTGACAGGCCCATTAGTATAAGCCAAACTTATTTAACATAGGGTTTGCATTTGTGGAAATGAGGGGCTGATTCATTATCTATAATCAGCCTACAGTTAAGGGTTGATTCACTGATATAGTTATCTCCTTCCTATTCTAAAGATTTGTTCTCTACATAGCTCTGCCCAGGGCTAGCCTGACTCACATGGACCTGACTGCAATAAAACTTGAATTTTGACATCCATTGCATGTTTTAACCATTGCACACATGACTTATTTTTTTTATCCTTTAAAATATTATCAAACTATTCTTTGTGAATGAAAAGGTAACCAATGGAAAAGATATTCACGGCAGAGACTCCACTATGAACTAAACAGAGATTCCCCCTACCTCCAATGGAGGAAAGGGTAGGATGGTGTTTGAGTTCTTATTTGGTTGAGAAAAATAAAAGATGATACCCTTGCTCCCAAACTGACCAGTAGAGTACTGGACCATTGCTCTGTGGGACAGTGCTGAGCTATGTGGACCTGCAACCTCTTGAATTTCCTCTTTTGCTGTAATAACTCCACATTACACACCAAAGCATGTCTATTGAAAGACCATTAGTCTTAACATCTGTTGGCCAGCAGAAAATTTCTGTTTAAGATAATAATAATAAAGAGAACACCTATTAATTAAAGTCTCTAGATTTCTATACAGCCAAAAAAGGAGAAGTATGTCAACATCCAGGCACTCTTTTATAAGACTAAATAACTATTGCAAAGAAAGGAGGTGTCATCTTGATGGAACAGATGTGTACCTGGTGCTGGAGGGTTGCTCAGCCTTGCGAATGCACTCTGCCCCGGTCAGATGTTCAGCTTCTCTAGGGGACAGTCATCCAATCCCAGGGATGGGACCATCAATCATTATCCATGGGTCGGAACTTCCTGCAAGGCTAGAGGAAACACTTTGATTAATGCCTACATGGTGACCTGGATGATGCTGAGGGCTGAAAGTTGTGGTGAAAATGAGGTAAGGAATAATTGTTTTTTAATAACCTTCGTAATTGTCCTTCTTGTGGCTCTTACAAATTCTAAATTTATTCCACATTATTAAAACCCAGTCAAGATATGTTATTACAAATGAGTTTCTGTATCCTGGAAACCACAATGAGAGAATGCCGGTTTGAGCCTCTGGTACGTAGTTATGTTCTGGGTTTATGTATTTAAAAATTTTTTTTCTTGAAGATTCAAACAAAACTGATTTTATTTGACCAAAAGAACCACGAAAAGTATAGAAAGAAAGGAAGTTGATTTTGACCCGATTTTAACAGGCTTCCTCAAATACTTAAGAAATCCATATCTAAATGGTCCCAGGATCACAGTGAGAAGGAAGACATAAGGTCTGTTAGGGGTGTGGGGGTGAGGAGGAACTTCCCCTCTCCTCCAAAAGTTCGCTGAAGGATCAACTCACAATAAAATAGATTAATAAGAGAAAGAGGTTTATTTACCATGTGCATGGAGAGAATCACAGAGTAAATGCGCAATATCCCCATGGAGTCCAGAAATGCATATACACTCCTTTTAGAGAGGCGGGGGAGATGAGGAATATAGGTAATTCTGTTTAGGGGCACTAAATGGTTGCTAGGGAAGATGAATGCATGGGGGCAACAAATTGACTTGTAAATTAACCTGAGAGACAGGTATTATGTTTAAAATGATTGAGCCAGGTCTGGTTGCATTCTTGATCTTCTTATATTGAGATAACAGGGAGGGGATGGGAAGTCGATTGCTCTTTTGGGGTGTAGGTCCTGTCCAGTTATGCAGAGGGAAAGCTCCTTCCAAGGGCCTGTTGATCCCTAGGGGCCTTTAATTCAAAATACTCTTTATGCCAGTGAGTCATATTTTGGGGTAAACTTTCCGGAGCTCCTTCAGGAGACTTGATGGAAATGTTTTCCAATCTAGAAGAAATGCAAGAGCTGTTGAATTCTTCAGTTGTAATGATTAGTTATGATTCTCTTAGATGGCAGCAATCTAAACTCCTTTTGTATATGAATATATACATAGCAACTATGAATCTTAATCTACAAATTCCAATGTGTAAGAATTGTACATTTTCTTTATTAAAAAAAGAAAAGAATTTTACTCCCTGATATGATGCAATGAGAATAGCACTTCACTTCTGTGATATTGTGACCAAAAATTTGGTACTTGTCCCCAAGGCCGAATCAGTGAGAATGAAGAATGAGGACAAGTGGTTTGAGGAAAAGGAAAGAGAAGTTTATTAATTTGCCAGCAAATGAGAAGGGTAGTAGTCTAGCATCTTAAAGGACTGCCATCCTGTCTTTAAACAGAAATCCAGGCCTTTTTAAAAGGGGGGGTTTCTGTGGTTGGGCTTGGGTCTGCGTGACAAGTGTCCCATGTCGTGGCTTCAGGCTGTTGTTGTTTAAATATAACCAGTGATTTCGGTTGACCTTATCTCTGGTGATGACAATCTCATGACCCTTGTCTGGACAATTCTGTGGTGCCATCTCCTGTGGTTTAAGATACTAGAAAACAAACAGCAAAGACCATTTTTCTGCCCCTTTGATTACTGGGCTTGGGCAGGAATGCGGGTTTTAATTCCCTAAAGGGTGGAGGGTTTTATAGAGACAACTCATAAAACATTTCTTTGCCCTTTTTCAGACCTTTACCTCTATTATAGTATTTGTTCCAAAAATCCATATTCTCAGTCTAATCGTAAGAAAAGCATCAGACAAACCCACATTGGGGAACTTTTTACAAATACTTGGTCAGTACTCATCAAAGCTGTCAAGGTCATGAAAAACAAGGAAAGACTGAGAAGCCACCACAGACCCAAAGAGTTGGGAAGACATGACAACTGAATGCAACGTTGTGCCCTGGATTGGATCCTGGAACAGAAAGAGGACATAAGTGAAGAAAACTGGTGAATTCCGAATAAAGTCTGGAATTTAGTTAATAGTAATGTAGCACTGTCAGTTTCTTAGTTGTGACAAATGTCCCACGGTAATGTAAGATGGTAACAATGGGGAAATTGGATGAGGTACATATATAGGGACGCTCTGTACTATCTTGGCAAATTTTCTGCAAATCTAAAATTATTCCAAAGTTAAAGAGTTTAGAAAAAAACTTACATCCAACCATGACCTCTCATTCTACTGGACTAGCAGGAAACTCAGTCCCAGTCATTACTAGAGCTCCCTGCACCTTCATCTGGTGCCAAGGCATCAGGTTTTTTTGTCCACACAGGTTATTACTGATGTGCTCGTTGTCTACACCCACAAGGTTGCTGAAAATCAACAACTGTGTTGTCACGTTTGGGGGACACAGACAAGAATGAAAATCCCAAAGCTAGAGAATCCCTGCTTTCTTAAACATATGTGATAATCATGGCCTTAATGCTTTGGGTCTTTCTATAAGAAACTGTCATAGGGCAGGGCACAGTCCCCAGTGCTCATGAAGTCTCCTTACTTTCATCTACTTCCCAGTCTAGGAGTAAAACAACAACAACAGCAACAATAAAAACCCTTCTCTTTCTATTCTTGCCAGCCTCAAATACAGCTACCTCTCCCTACCCTTCCTAGAAATACCTAACGTATTTTCCATGAGCTCAAGCTTTCATAAAAGAAAAAATCGTCTTCCTGCCATTTCTTACTGGGCCCAGCAAAATTCTCCAATGCAAGGAATATAGATTCTGGCTACTTACTTGGGATAAGTGGAGGGAAAACCCCAGCAAAAAGAAACACAAATCAATATATAATCCTGCCACTTATGTAATTACCAACTGCTTTATTACAGCAACTCCAGTAACTTATCTTAAGGAAGTACACATATGGGATTCTCCACATCTCTGCCCTCAACCCTCATCTTGGAGCAAAAGAAGCTGATACATGGTACGTTCTCCTTTTGCCTCAGGGCACTTACTTCCCTGAATCTTGAGTTAACTACCATATTTCCACTCTAAGAGAAGCTTCTATCTCTCCCTGCTACTCTCACCTTGCTCCTCTCCAAGGCAAGAGATTTAATGAGCTCACTCATGACATGGGGAAACCTTAATGCCAGGCAGAGAGCAAGCCCAGGAGGAATGGAAAACAGAACAAGAGAATTGTGATGTTGTAGAGGAGGCTAAGGGTAGAGAAAGGTCCAGAGTAGAAAATTAAGAAGGAAGTGGGTTCTGAAAAGGGACAGAGACTCAGTTTGGTCTGGGAAAGACAGCAACATAGGAAGCTCCCAAGGCCTTGCAAGATCAGTGACAGATATGTGAACTGGATTCATTGGTGGCGTGTGCAGAAATGAGTTCTAAGTTCGTCAAACTCCCAAATCCTTTAAGTTTGTCAAGGTTAATTGAAGAGTGAATCAATGTCCACAACTTTTTAGCTATAAAAATGGAACTGTTCATGTTAAGTAAAAGTTTTTGCTGAGCATGAATCTATTAATAGGAGGCAGTACTGTAAACGGTCCCTTTGGAGGGTGGTTATGGTCACTTCTCAAGGGACACATGTCACAATTTGTGACTTTGGAAAAACTTCTTGTTTCCCTCAGTTATGACCCTGATATTTATGGGGCTTGGGGCAAGAGAATAAATGGAAGACCACATACAATAGCTCTAAATATTTAAAAGTTATAAATTAATCTAGCAAACGTTTAACTAAAACTAATTCTATCCTCCTACCTTAGCAAATATATCTTCATTATACGAAATCAAAAATATGTGTAAAGGTATCTTTCTCATATGACTGATAGTTTGACAAATATCAAAGGCAACTGAATTTATTATTAAGTCCTATTCTGGGTGTTCTGTTATTAAGATAGTGATGTTTGGATGAATAATAAAATAAGAACATAATTCTTATATGATTACATATTTATTACAAAAATTCTTTTTTGGCCTTCATTTTAGAAAAATTACTAATTAATTGCTATAATCATGATTTTTACTTATTTTGTATCCTATTGACAAAATTAATCCAAAGGATTAAAAAATAAAATGTAATAGTATGCAATCTGCTTACATTTTAATATATTAATATTTCATCAGAAATGCAAATTAAATAGTAAAAATTAAACTTAAAATCATTGTTAAGTGTCTTAAAAAAGTGCGTTTCTTAATTATCCAGAAATATTTATTAAAATTTAAAGTCAAGATACTGATTATAATTATGAATTATAACTCAAAACATTATTGTAATAAAGTCTTACATTTTCTTTTAATTAACTGATCTTGTTTACATTTATAGAAATAATACTATTTGCAATGTCAGGCAAATGTGTCTTCCAGTGTCCTAGTTGCCAATATAAAGCATCAGTGACACAGTTCGTGCATGATATGTCTAGAATAGACTGACATACACATTCAGGAGTAATATGGATAATTTAATATTGCAAAATATTCCTCAGCTGCCATATGCATGCAATTGCTGCAAATGCCATGCTAATTTGCAGATATCTTCAGAATCATAAATTGGAAAACCAAGAGTATCAAGAAAGTGGATATTCAGCATATGTGGAAAATGATATTTCTTTATGCAAGAATCTATTGCGTTCTTACAATCTAAAAGAAGGGTTTGTACGAGTTAATTTGTCTTATTTCTTACCTAAGCTCTTCCAGCTCTCAAAAACCTCCCTATATTCCATTGCAGCATCTATCTCCTATGTCATTAGCAGCACAACCCACACATCTTTGTGATATTTAGTAGCAATCACCTTTTGTTTGAGTACATAGGAGATGTGAAGATGACATTTCCTGTGCCTTAACAGAGTCAGCCCCAAGATTATAAAGTTATGGATCATGCTGCATTGGTGTGGCTGGATCCCAAGTGACAGAAGGTCTACATATTCTTCAATAAGTTTATTTTTTCAGTATTTTGATATATGAGGCCTCTAAAGAAAGAGTCCCAGGGTTGAGGCCCTCTTGTGAAAGACCAGCAACCTTACCAGTTTCTCTTTATGATCTTGGTTGCCAATTGTGATTATTCAAATCCTGCATCACGTATCATAAAAAATCTCATTGTCGGCCGGACATGGTGGCTCACCCCCGTAATCCTAGCTCTCTGGGAGGCCGAGGCGGGTGGATTGTTTGAGCTCAGGAGTTCGAAACCAGCCTGAGCAAGAGCGAGACCCCGTCTCTACTAAAAAT